AAAAAATTATTTACAAAACTACACAGTATTTGGTAGCGCCACCTGGAAAACCAGAAGGCTTGAATTTGCCTGTCACTTGGTAGTTGGAGATGCTGTATATTTGGCCTGAGTGTCCAGCTGTAATGGAAATGCTCTGTATCTGTGCTGTCCAGCATGGCAGTCACCAGCCACATGTGGCTACTGCACTTCAAATGTGGCCAAGGGAACTGAAGAACTGAACTTAAGAGTTAATTTTAATTAAATTTAAATAGCCACATGCGTGGTGGTTACTGTATGACAATGCAGTCAAACCGACATCATCATATAGCCTTTATACAGATATTTTAAAGAAAATAACAGCTGGGCTGGGCACGATGGCTACGCCTGTAATCCTAGAACTTTGGGAGGCTGAGGGGGTGGATCATGAGGTCAGGAGTTCGAGACCAGCCTCAACATAGTGAAACCCTGTCTCTAATAAAAATACAAAAAATAGCGGGTGTGGTAGCGTGCGCCTGTAATCCCAGCTACTCAGGAGGCTGAGGCAGGAAAATCGCTTGAACCCTTGAGGCAGAGGTTGCAGTGAGCTGAGATGGCACCATTGCACTCCAGCCTGGGGGACAGAGCGAGACTGTCTCAGAAAAAAAAAAAAAAGAAAATAATAGCTTATTTTAAAAAGCTCAGTTGAAGTGATCATAGTTTAATTTCTAAGTTTATGGCATTTTATCTTTCAGTGCTGCACAGACATAATTATTTCATGATGCTGCAAAATAAAATTTGAGCTTCTAATTTTGAGGGTCTAGGGAAAAAATGGGATATTACAGTATCTCCTTTAGCAGTTTGACCAGCTGATCAGTAGAATTTGTATATTTCTGAGCATAACTGCAAAGTGTGCAGCTCCACAGACCAGTAGCTTAACTTTTGCTTAAATTCTTGTATTATTATTTACAAAGGTCTGGTTTTATTTGCACAGATTTGCACAAAACAACTGAAATTGTGTTTTGAAACTAAAAATCTTTCAAGTTATGTATTTGGAACATTATATTTGTATGATTTCAAGTTATATATTTAAAACATTTTATTTGTATGATTATATCATATTTTGAAAGAATTCTTTTTGCTTGAGTAATAGTGTAGAAAATTAGCTTAGATCAGGCTTTATTCCAGAATAAAGTTTAGATTAGGTCCCTAAAGAGAGGTTCCTATCTTTATAGAATTACAGTTACCAAAGGCTGTTAAACAAATAATCTATTTTTAGAGATGTGCAAAATATTTCACATTTCTTTTTTTTTTTTTTTTTTTTTTTTTTTTTGAGACAGAGTCTCACCACTCTGTGACTCTGTAGCCCAGGCTGGAGTGCAGTAGCACCATCTCGGCTTACTGCAGCCTCCGCCTCCCAGGTTCAAGCAGTTCTCTGCCTCACCCTCCCAAGTAGCTGGGATTACAGGTTACACTCAGCTAATTTTTGTATTTTTTTTTTTTTTTTTTGAGACGGAGTCTTGCTCTGTCACCCGGGCTGGAGTGCAGTGGTCGGATCTCAGCTCACTGCAAGCTCCGCCTCCCAGGTTTATGCCATTCTCCTGCCTCAGCCTCCCGTGTGGCTGGGACTATAGGCGCCCGCCACCTTGCCCAGCTAGTTTTTTGTATTTTTTAGTAGAGACGGGGTTTCACCGTGTTAGCCAGGATGGTCTCGGTCTCCTGACCTCGTGATCCCTGACCTCGTGATCCGCCCGTCTCGGCCTCCCAAAGTGCTGGGATTACAGGCTTGAGCCACCGCACCTGGCCTAATTTTTGTATTTTTTAGTAGAGACGGGGTTTTACCATATTGTCCAGGCTGGTCTTGAACTCCTGACCCTGGTGATCCACTAGCCTCGGCCTCCTAAAGTGCTGGGATTACAGGCATGAGCCACCGCGCCCGGTAGTGTCTCACATTTCATGTGCATTAGTTTTGTTGCCTTGTGACTTCAGCTCTTAAAAGCTGAAAGATGTTTGAAAATTTCTGTATTTTTACCTGTTTCAGAGAAATCAGATTTAGACTTTTTAAAAGAAATTTACACAAGCATACACCTGCTTATATTTAACAATTAAGGAGAATCTATTTATCTGGAAGACACATGGAGGGTCATTTATTCACATACACTGCTTCTAGGAAGAACTGTGTTCCCTCTGTCTTTATCCCCACCGCCCCAGCAGACAAGAAAACAAAACTTTATTTTCTGGAGCTTTTAAGAATACTGTAGACCTTTATCTCTTTTGGTGATCTTCCATAGTGTGTGGCACTCTTAAACAGTCTTTCTAAAGCTAAGTTAACACTGAGTATTCTTGAAGCTCGTGTTATCTAGCCTCTCCTTAGCTTAAATAGGATAACTGCATACCAGTATGTGCTCTCACCAGCTTCCCCACAAGGATCTCACAGAATAAGAAGAATAGCAATTAAGAGTTTAGGAATCCAGAGTGTTCTTTTCAGCTCATGCCACTTAAGCCGCGCATTATTTAAATACTTGTTTTTTGATGGTGTGCTAGTTACTGAACAGAACATTCTCTTTAATCAGATGTAACTGAAAAAAGAAAACATAGATAATGTGACTATGTATGAAATGTATAGTTATATTGAAGTGGTAGGTGAGACATTAAAATTCTATGTCTTATTGGGTCATTCGGGGATCCTTCAGGAGCATTAAGTTTTAAGTAGTCAGTGATTTCTTAAAACACTTTGCATACCGTCTTATGAAAAAAATGTCATCAAAGAAATGCAACTTTTAAACATTATTAGATAATGGGCAGGAAAAGTAGTTTTACAGATTTAGAAACTTTTTTCTACATAAAATATACTCAAAACCAAATTATTTATTTGGATAATGGAACCAGATTTTTGATGAATAGGTTCATTTGGCCAGTAAGTACTGAACTTTCACTTTTTTGTTTGTTTGTTTGTTTAGACAGAATCTTGCTCTATCACTCAGGCTGGAGTGCAGTGGCATGGCGTCATCTTAGCTCACTGCAACCTCTGCCTCCTGGGCTCAAGTGATTCTCTGGCAGCAGCCTCCCGAGTAGTTGGGATTACAGGAGTGCGCCACCACACCCAGCTACATTTTTTTTTCTATTTTTAGTAGAGACGGGGTTTCACCATGTTGGCCAGGCTGGTCTTGAACTCCTGACCTCAAGTGATCTGCCTCCCAAAGTGCTGGAATTATAGGCGTGAGCGACTGCACTTGGCCGAACTTTGACTTTTGAAGTGCATACTTCAGTTGGTTTTTTGGATACAGGTTTATAACTTAATACTACTTTATTTAAATTTCAAACATATCAACCCAAAATCCCTTAAGGCACAAGCATAGAAAAGTAGTAGAAAACCATGATGAATAAACTATTATAGATTACCAGTAAACTACTTGTGGTAACAAAAAATGATTAAGGCAGTTTACTGTTCTTCCACAGGGGAGTGAACAATTTATATGTAAAAGCAGGGAGAGTGGAAGCTTCACTCTAACTTCTCTCCTGGAGATGAAGAGGAGCCCCCTTTCTGTGCCTCACACTGTGCCTGGTGATTTAGGTTGGTTATCCTGTCTAATCCCCTTATTACACTCTGAAGTTGATCTTCCCACTCATTCAACAGATAAGGAATTTGAAGCTCAAAGGGTTTAAGTAATTTGTTTCTGGTCACTAGTAGAAATGAGATTTGAACTGCCTGCCCGCAAACACATGCTCTGTTCAAGATGGCAAATGCTTGGGTCACAATATTTTTATATGTTTGACAGTACAAACAGTGGTAATGATGTTCTTTTGGCTAATTGTAACTTCAAAAATTGCTTTTCAAAGCATAACCCTACTGTAGTTTTAAAGTAGAAAAGGAAAAATGGAAAAAAAAAAATGGAGACATCTTCCCTTACTTAAATCCATACTGGATGAGAAGATTGGTAAATAGTTCTCTTATGGACTTGTTAAATGATGTGGAGGTGGTTACCTCCCCCTGGGCAAAGGAAACATCTCAATAGCTATTTCTTCCCACCTCTATCTAATAATACTACCATAGACATCTCAGATCTTCCACATCTGCAGGGAAAGAGAAGGGGTGTGATAATTAGCTTTTGTATAAGGGGTGTTAAATAGTCTTTCTTGAGATGATATCTGTAAATGTGGCTTGAAGGTGATGATATATTAGGTTGGTGCAAAAGTAATTTCGGTTCTTACCGTCACCTTTGATGGCAAAACCACAATTACTTTTGCACCATCCTAATAGGAAAGGAGCAGAGTAGGATAGGCATGTTGGGAGAAGTGGAAGACAGGGACACATACAATGTCTGCTGTGAGATGACCAGTGTCATTCAGCTGTTTCCAGTTACTTGAGTGGTGCAGCAATGACTTTGACGTGTCCAGATGGGAGTGGAGTGAGTGTCTCCACTTGCAGCTTCAGGACTGTCTGTGTAGGGAGCAGTAATTCAAGGTAGTCAGATACCTTTGTTGGAAATAGATTAGGGGCTGATTTTGAATGAAATCACATTAAATCATTGCTTTTCATTCTCCCTCATTAACCATTTGGTTGTTTTTGGATGGCCTTTTGGGGATAACATCTGCTCAAAAGATATTTAGTTACTATCTTCTGTATTCCAGGCACCGTTGTAAATACTATGGAGACAGGAAAGGAAGTTTTCAGGGAGCTTTACCTTTCTTTCATAGTGCTTAATTAGTGCTTAATGGGGGATTTGGGTGGGAGAGAGAGAGAAAATAAACAAAAAAGAAAAACATGAGAGTTAAATGGGATTTAAGAAGGGTAATGTGACTGCGATGGCTACTTTAGATTGGATGGTCAGGAAGTGACCTTTCAGCTGAGACCTGAATGACAAGGAGCTGCTCCTGTGAAGATTTGCAGGTGGAGCATTTCAAGTGGGCATGATTCCCAGGGACTGGTGCAGAGGCCCCGAGGAAGCACTAGAGGCTGGGGCGGGAGGCGGGGGAAGAGGGGGCGGCAGGGGCAGGGCAGGGCTTCATGGGCAGAGGGCAGAGTGACTAGAGCTGAGGAAAAGACCAGTCAGCATATAGGTTTTTGTGGGCCAGAGGGAAGGGTGGAGGTGGCATGGGAAGGGACGTGGGAGCCACAGAAGAGGTTTAGTTAGCAAAAGCGACAACCTGATTGATTAGGAAAGCTCACTCTGTTGCTGTGTGGACAGCGGATCTTACAGGTGCCAGAGTGTAAGACTTGGGCAAGGTGGGAAGAGTAGGAAAGTCTACAGAAGGCTGCCAAAAATAAATTAAAGGGTTTTAATTTTATTTATTTTTTTGTTTTTTACTACACCTAAGGCCCAGCTGACAGTAAGAATTGGTTGTGAAGGCACTCAAGAGTTTGTCACTTTCTCTGATAAATTGTTTTATTGACCCTCAGACGCCCCAGGGGTGAGAGGAGAAACAGTAGCACTTACCCAGGGTTGGAAGTAAGACAAGACAGGAGTCGTGGAAGATCACTCCTGTATCCACAACTCCTTCCTGTGGGACTAAAGAGAAACCATACTTTTTATATCACCAGAGAGCTCTGACAGCTACACAGAGCAGTTTAAATTTAGGCTTGAGAGAAAGCCTTCTGTCACCATGTTTCTTTAAAACCGAGTAGTGTGTATCAGGTTTCTCAGGAAGCCATAGTCTGTCCTAAAATGCTTTAGGACAGCTTTACTTTTGATCACATGATCCGAGTGCGCTGGAAGCTTCTGATGCTTCAACTTAAAAGTTCCTTGACTCCCCCGCCCTTTTTTTTAAAATTTTAAAACAATAATATCTTCATTTTTCCAGCATAAAGTAGCGAGTGACCTAGGAAAATCAAGTCAGAGTTAACTTTAATTCTAGAAATGGTCTCTTCGTGCCAGTGTTTTCTGCATCACAACAAGATCTAGATAATAACTGCTTAGTTTGTGATATGTAGGTAATTTTCAAAAATTTTGTTAATTTCCTGAAAAGGTTGGGGGGCATCTATTTTGGATAATGCTTTTATTTTAAAGGTAGATTGGCTCTTTCTCTGGTAGGTTTTGCTTGTTGCTTTTAGTAGCCAGGGACCTGGACTTTCATCCTGCTTCGTTTCCTCTCTTCTGTTTTCTCCTGGAGCTGTTGAGTCACCAGGGCACACAGATCCCTGTTCTCCATTCCCTGGGGCGCCTGTTTGGCCTCACCCCTCTCCTACCTGTGCTGTTGTAGTGCTCTCCTTATCTATGTTCTTACCTTTTCTGTTCTCTGCCCCATCAGGCCATTTAAGGCACTGCTTCCGTGGTGGTCTTTTAGAAACAGCAGCGTGTCTCTTCCCTCTCCAGAATTCTTCAAGTCTGACCTCTGTTCCTTACAGCATAAAATATATAAACTCTTCAGTGAGATATAAAGTTTCTTTATTGTGTAGCCCAGTGGATTTCAGCCTTTTTGTGTCATTGATACATTTCCATTTCAGAATTTTTAGCTGCATAATGGAAATGATTGAAAAACTCAAAACATCAAGTCATCTATTAAAACATAGCACCAGCTGTGGCACAGTAGTGGGAATGCCTTGTGCTGTGCAGAAGAGCACTCGGTCACCTCGCAGTTCATTCGCCCTGCCTTTGGAATTGTGTTTCCTCTTGCTCACTGCAAGTTGTACTCTGTTGCATATTGCTCTCCACTCTTGCCTATTGCCCTCCATGACTTGCTCCACTCCATCGGACTTTGCCTTAACAGTGTGTGTATAAAACAAATTTTGTGCATTGAAAGTTTTTGCAGCACATTCATGGCTTGTGGATTGAGAATTGACCCATCTCTTCTTATTTGTCCTGCCTTGCCTCCCACCTCTATGCTTCAGCAGTTCCAGTACTATAGTTGTGAGGGCATGCCACAGTTTCCTGTGTCTTTATACACAATGTTTCTCTCCCTAGATGGTTCTCTTCCTGCTTGTGTTATTCATCCTACAGTTTCAGCTTAATAGTACTTAATGTTAAGCCTTCTTCCACTGCTTGGAGGGGATTTTTTTTTTTCTGTTCTCGCTGGACTTCAGATGCTTTAAATATACTTTCACCAGGAAGTTCTCATTTCTCAACATTGCACCCTTTTCATTGTTTGCAGTGCTTCTTCGTTGTTCCATAAGCTCTAAGAGGACGTGGACCATGCCTTTTCATCTTTGTGTTTCTAACACTTACACAGTGTTTGGCATACTGTAGGGATTTAATATTGTTTGAGTTAATGGATAAATGAATATTCTTATTTTGGATTTTCTTTGGTGAGTGTAGGTCTTGCCTCTACTTCCATAGCAAAGTGGGAGGTAGGAAGGAAATAACTAGAAGCAATGGATTGGTTGTAGTTCGATCATCATGGATAGATCTTAAAAAATGTAGTGCTTAGTGAGTAAAAATAAAAAATAGAATGAAATCTGTAACAGTACCTTTACGTAAAATAACACAAATGCCTGGCACACAACAAGGCTCAGTTTAGAAGGAAGCACACCAACACTAAACTTATCAATAGTTGGAGTCGGGGAGGAATTAACTAAATGTATTTGTTCTTTTGCTTTATACATTGGTTGTTTGTGACAGATATTGAAGCAGAGTAGCCTAAGATGAGTTGCTTTAGAGGATATGTTCAGAATTTGAAACCTATCTAAATTCAGCTTCAGGCATAGTTGAAAGAAGAGAAAAGGTTTCTTAGGTTTACTTAAGCAGAATTCTTTGAGACATTGTCTGGCTTTGAAAACGTTCACTGTGAAGTAATACCATTTATAGATAAACATTTCTTGATGCTTCAGGATGTGAACATTCTCTTTGTCATGTTCTTGTCGCCTGTTAACTTTCTCCTCTTTGTGGAACTTTGATTCCCTGAGTCACAGTTTCAGTTCAGTTCAACAAACTTGTATTGCATATTTGCTTTGTGTGAGATCTGACAGAGTTTTTTTGGGGAATGAGGTACAATGTAGGAGGAGAAAAACCAGGGAAGAAGCATTTAAGAACCAAAACCTGTGTCCTAAAGAATGTATGGACCAGTAGGACAGATAAGACAGGGATACAAACAACTACAGTGTGAATGGTTGTCAGAGAAGCAAAGAGAACATTTACTTCTGGCTGGAGGTAGGTGTGTGGGTAGGGACGGATGGATTGGAGGAAGTTTTATGGTCTTTGAATTATTCTGGAAGGATGGGGATGACATTGACACTACAGGACCGTGTAGGAATCAGGTGAGCTACTCTGGGGAGAGAAGTGAGGAAAAGTGTGGCTATTTTTAGATTTCTCATTTGGTGACTTGAGGCTATAACTGTGGAGTAGATAATTTAAAATACGTTTTAGGTCTTAATATTTCTTGTAATTGAAATGGAATTCCTTGAAATTCAAAGTACGCAAATATAAATACCCGTGTATATGATCATAATGTATTGATATTGTTGTTGGGTTAACTACTGGTATTGTAATTAATATATACATAGATTAATACACACTGCTGTTACTTGCTAGCGAAACTAATACTGTACATTATTTACAGCAAATTACTCAGAAACCTAGCTTCATGTTACTTCCCTGCTCAAAACCCTCTAATGCAGTGGTTCTTAAGCTTAAGTGTGGGTACTGGGCCTCACCTCTGGGGTTTCTGAATCAGGAGGTGTGGAGCAGGGCCTGGGACTTCATATTTGACAAGTTGCCAGGTGATGCTGATGCTGTTTGAGGATTGCATGTTGCAAATCACCACTCTAGTGACTTTTCCCTTGCAATAAAGTCCATACTCCTTATTCTTGACCTATAAGGCCCTGCTCAAGCTAGCCCCTGTTCTACCTCTGCCCTCATTGGCACAAATCTGTATTCCTGATGTGGCGTTTTTTCTGGTCATGGAATTACCACCTCTGGGCCTTTGATGAAATGTCTTCCTTCAGATGTTTCAAGTGACTGTGGCTTCTTCAGTCTCAGCTCAAAAGTCCCCTGCACCCTGAGGTGTCTTTCCTAATCACGATCAGCTATCTTCTCCTCATCACTTCCATAATTCTTTATCATATCACTTTATATACTATGCTCATTTGTGTACTACCAGCCTCTCAGGCAAGCTTTTTCATACTGTGTTCCTTTTGCTTTAACTGCTTTCTTAGTAGGTGTTTAGTAAGTACTAATGGGTGAATGAATGAAACTTCTTATTGATGTCAGCAAGAAGTTAGGATTGAGGGGAAGGCATAGAACCAGGAGCTTCTTTGGCATGGCTGGCTTTGATAGGATGTGACTCCTATAAGTTTTTATGTAGAGGTCCGTGTTACCTGTTTATGTATACGAAGTGGTTCTCTTACCAGACACCTGTGACCAGCAGGGCTACTTTATGAATTTTTCCTTAATTAAAGTAACCACTTCATATTTGCTCTATCATTTTCTTCCAGAATGTTGATTATTTCAGAATATGATTGTGTGCTCCAGATGGTATTGAATGGATGGTCAGGATAGTCCATGCATGATTAACGTTTTAACAGAATATTGTTCAAATTGATATTGAGACTTCATGTTATTGATTTCTGAATTCTATTAACTTACTGTAAGTGAGCAAAGAAATAGTTTATGATGTAAAAAAATCCTTTGAATATGATTTTATGATTTTGCTTTAAATAAACTCAGATGTAACTGATAGGAACTGATGGGTTGATGTTAAAAATATGCCATCATAAAAATTGGTACACTTAGTGTAGAAGTAGGTTTAATATCATTGAGCCTTAATAGAACATTGGTATACGTAACTCATGGTAATTGATGAAGATTTTTAAAAGCAGTTTAATGGCTCCAGGAGTGAACTCTAGAGAAACAGCTAAGAAATCATGATAGGCCTTTGTAAACAGTGATTCTCTGATAACTTTAATAAGGTTGGGACCCATTGTCGGGGAGGTAGAGAGTGTCTCTCTGAGGGAAAGGACTCAAATATGTAGTGTCCCTGTGACTCCCGAGGAAGGTTCCGGAGACCCCTGTGGGTTGCCTACTCAGATATTGGAGAGACAAGGAAGGACAGCCCAGGCTGGGGTAGTTGAGCAGCACACTTCTTGCAGAATGCTGGCAGCCTAGCCCACAGCTAGGGTGCAGCATGTCTGAATTAGGGAGCCAAGCTCACCAGTGCCCTTGGTGTGCAGTCCCAGCTGGCAGAGTGAGCACTGGAGCAGAGTTCCAGGTCTGTGCAGAGATAGGCAGAGTATCCTCGAGGACTGGAATGGTCTGCATCTCCTTCCTAAACCCCGCCCAGTGTTAGAAGCCATGGTTGGGATAAATGGCTGTGTATGAGTTTGAAAGAAACTTTGGTTATATCTTAATTTAATCCCTGCTCTGTATCGCAGTGTTGGGAGAGGTGTTTTTACTTGACTGGGTTATAGGAAGCCTAGTGGCATCCTCCTCTTACAAAAAATATTTTCAGGCCTTCCTTCGTAAGAGGTACAACAAAATATAGAAACTGAAGTAATGGTTTTACATTTATCTTTCTACAGAGGAATTGTGAAACACAGAAACCATTAGGATTTTCCCCTAATCTCTCTACAAACGTAATTGCCTGGCTGTTCCTGTGGTATTTCCTGTGAGTTGCAAAATTTGGGGAGGATTTGTGTCACTCTTTTTACAGATTGTTCATTTCATAATTTTCTCTTTTTTCCTCTTAGGTAAACTTGAAGGATTTGAGTTTTTATAAATGAAAACTCTGAAGGTGCTGTTGTAGAGCTTAATTTCCCTTTGGTGACAGGGAATATCTTATACTCTTGGTTCCTTTCTTCTTTCTTAGAACTTCACATGATTTTCTGAATCAAATGAATAAACGTTAGCCTCTGACTCATTTTGTAAATGCCCTAATCATTTATTTTTGTATTTCCTCTTAGAAAAGTCTTTCAGATTTTAATCTGAAATAATTCCTCTTTAAAATGAGTCATTCTTGTGTTGATAGCATAACATCATAGTTACAGTACATACATGCTCTATAAACACAGAACTCTTAAATCTGTGACCCATTGTTTTTAAATGAAAATTATCTGTGACTTTGAATTTTTGGAAAGGCAAATCTTCATTTGGATATGACTGATATGAATTACTGTGCAGCGAGTCTGTAGGTGGCCTGGCACAACTTAACACAGTGTTTTTTTTTTTTACTTTCCCCTGAACTTTCCTTCTCTTGAGATAGATGACTATAGGAGGTAGAAACAAGTTGTAATCACATTTACCATTTTTAATGAAATATTTTCGTGTTCCTTTATCCCAGTTTGTATTAAGTATACTTTAAATTGTAAATTATGATAAAACTATTTTACTGTTGAGATTTTAAAAATTTAAAAGTGATGTCTATACTTGCCCCTGGTGTCGCTGATTTTCTGTGTATTTCATACAGGTCAGTATATATATATATTTTAGATGGTACATATGTGTGTGTGCGTGTACTGACATACAGATTTTTACTTTTTTTTTTTTTTTTTGGGAGACAGCCGAAGCTGGAGTGCAGTGGCACGATCATAGCTCACTATAACCTTGAATTCCTAGGATCAAGCGATCCTCCCACCTCAGTCTCTTGAGTAGCTAGGACAGACTACAGGTACATGCTACCACACCCAGCTAATTTTTTTTTTTTTTTTAAATATAAATGGGGAAATGGGGTCTTACTGTGTTGCTCAGACTGGCCTCTAGCTCCTGGCCTGAAGTGATCCTCCCACCTCAGCCTCCCAAAGTACTGAGATTACAGGCAGGAGCAGGAGCCACCCTGTCTGGCCAAGGTGGGGTGTGTGTATGTGTGTATATATGTGTGTGTGTGTGTGTGTGTATATATATGTATTTTTTTTTTTTTTTTTTTTTGTGACTGAGTCTTGCTGTCTCCCCCAGGCTGGAGTGCAGTGTCGTGATCTCGGCTCACTGCAAGCTCCGCCTCCCAGGTTCATGCCATTCTCCTGCCCCAGCCTTCTGAGTAGCTGGGACTACAGGCACATGCCACCATGCCTGGCTAATTTTTTGTATTTTTAGTAGAGACGGTTTCACCATGTTAGCCAGGATGGTCTCGATCTCCTGACCTTGTGATCCGCCTGCCTCAGCCTCCCAAAGTGCTGGGATTACAGGCGTGAGCCACTGCACCCGGCCGATGGTACATATATTTTTAAAGTTAAAAATATCTAGTATTGTTCTGTTTTGTAACTTTTTCTTAACATTTTCCTAACACTATATTTATACTTACAGGAGTTGGTGGCTGGGTCATAGTCCTTCTGGCAAGTGATTTTAATTTACTTTTTCCCTGTTTAAAGACTTTTTCATGTTTTTGAATATTTACTTTTCCATCTTACTGTATGTGTAGACCTCACACTGCAGTGAAAATCTTCAGGCGTTCAGAGTTTTTCTTCATTTCAATTTTTTTTTAGGATAAATTCCCAGGAGTAAGGTCATGAGATATACATAATTCTGTGACTTTTGATACATTGTTTATTTTACTTTCCAAATAGGATTTTAAATAATTTATAGTACTACCATTGTGTATTTGAGTAAATAACTTTTTTACAACCTCATCTATGTTGGATCTTGTCTTTTAATTGAAGACAGCTTAATACAGATTGAGCATCGTGAATCCAAAAATCTGAAATCTGAAATACTCCAAAATTGAAAACTTTTCTGAGTGCCTACATGATGCTCTAAGGAAATGCACATGGGTGCATTTTGGATTTTGGATACTTGGATTAGGGATGCTCAACTGGTTATCCATATATTCTAAAATCAGAAAAAATTCTGAAATATGAGACACTTCTGGTCCCAGGCGTTTCAGATAGGGGATACTCAAACTGTAGTTGTTAAGTGGTACCTCATTGTTTTAATTAATATTGATTTCCCTGCATGTCTTCATATTTGTATTGTCTTGTGGGATCTGTCATTTATATCTTCTGCTCTTAAGTATGCTTTAGAGTTTATTGTTTATTGATTAATGTCTTCTCTTTGTGGTTTCTACTATAAAAAATGATGTTCCTGATTTCTAAGTTCAAAGGAAGTTAACATTTTAATGTGTATGTGGTCACCAAGAAGGGCTGATCTAATATGCACATTTTCTACCTAAGGAGGAAAAACTACTCTGTTACCAAGTAAGCAAGCTGTCATGAGCCTTTTCAGAT